ATCGACAGTTTGCAAGTCAAGGAGCCTGTGGAGATCAAAGGAGAACTAACAGGTCAAGTGACCAATAATGCTTACTTTAAGAATTTGCATAAAAAAATTGATTTAAAAAAACCTATTTGTTTGTAGGCTATTGCTTTGCTACTGTGCACACAAATGTGTAACTTGATCATTCCCATGCTAAATGCCCATTTAAGACATTGCACCGTTTTACCACAGCTGAAATTATGGCTATCAATGCTACTTTTTGTTTCTATTTTTGGATTGCAGATTGCTTATCTAGTTAAACAAAGTGGAGAGGAGCCTTGATCCTCGCCTAACTATGCCTTTGTAAAGTGTATTATGTGGTTTATAATGGACTGCCGTGCAGAAACAGTGAGGCTTACATTTTCCTGATATCCGTCAGTGGTCATACTTGATGCACTAGATGTAATAGGCTAGTTTTTGAGATGTTCTTCATTGTATGTTAGTCCAGATGAGCCAACCCTCCCAAGATGTAACAAAAAAAGTATTACAGTACACTAAAATAATGTATTACAGGAGTATGCCACATCATGTAGCACTTCATTTCTTGATGTTGCTGTTGTTTGATGAAGAATTAACAATAATATTCACAATACCATATGGTTTTATGGAATAATTCAGTAAATACACTCACCTAAAGGATTATTAGGAACACCTGTTCAATTTCTCATTAATGCAATTATCTAATCAACCAATCACATGGCAGTTGCTTCAATGCATTTAGGGTTGTGGTCCTGAATGTCAGAATGGGAAAGAAAGGTGATTTAAGCAATTTTGAGCGTGGCATGGTTGTTGGAGTATTTCACAATCTGCTCAGTTACTGGGATTTTCACGCACAACCATTTCTAGGGTTTACAAAGAATGGTGTGAAAAGGGAAAAACATCCAGTATGCGGCAGTCCTGTGGGCGAAAATGCCTTGTTGATGCTAGAGGTCAGAGGAGAATGGGCCGACTATGCAGCAAAGCATTTGTGAAGCCACAACACGCACAACCTTGAGGCGGATGGGCTACAACAGCAGAAGACCCCACCGGGTACCACTCATCTCCACTACAAATAGGAAAAAGAGGCTACAATTTGCAAGAGCTCACCAAAATTGGACAGTTGAAGACTGGAAAAATGTTGCCTGGTCTGACGAGTCTCGATTTCTGTTGAGACATTTAGATGGTAGTCAGAATTTGGCGTAAACAGAATAAGAACATGGATCCATCATGCCTTGTTACCACTGTGCAGGCTGGTGGTGGTGGTGTAATGGTGTGGGGGATGTTTTCTTGGCACACTTTAGGCCCCTTAGTGCCAATTGGGCATCGTTTAAATGCCACGGCCTACCTGAGCATTGTTTCTGACCATGTCCATGCCTTTATGGCCACCATGTACCCATCCTCTGATGGCTACTTCCAGCAGGATAATGCACCATGTCGCAAAGCTCTAATCATTTCAAACTGGTTTCTTGAACTTGACAATGAGTTCACTGTACTAAAATGGCCCCCACAGTCACCAGATCTCAACCCAATAGAGCATCTTTGGGATGTGGTGGAACGGGAGCTTCGTGCCCTGGATGTGCATCCCACAAATCTCTATCAACTGCAAGATGCTATCCATCAATATGGGCCAACATTTCTAAAGAATGCTTTCAGCACCTTGTTGAATCAATGCCACGTAGAATTAAGGCAGTTCTGAAGGCGAAAGGGGGTCAAACACAGTATTAGTGTGGTGTTCCTAATAATCCTTTAGGTGAGTGTAATTTCTTAATATATCCATCTAAAGAAACCTAATTTTTTGACTTGCAACTCTCTATGTCAGAATACAACACTTTTTGTCCTGAGTCGGCCACTGTTGCTGTCCTACGCGCTTGATCAGAATCTGTTTATAGATTGTTCAGCTGACAAGATGAGAGTGCAAAATGGAGCTGCGGGGCTTTTGTGAACACATTACAACTACAATAATAATATTGCAACTCAGTAGATTAGGCCTCTTTCCGTAATAAACAAAATAATTGTGTTACGTTTTATCAGTCACATTCTGTGAAGCCATGATATACAGCCCTGATATACTGGTATATCTTTAATCAGTACTGGAGCAGCAGTGTTTCCACTCATACATAAAACATAGGTGGGTAGGTCAAAATAAAAACAAGAGGCTGAAAACATTCACTGTCCACCTAGTGACACTGAGTAAATGAATGAGCAAGTGATCCCTATCCCCAACTGTGTTGCTATTGCTGCATTTGCTGGTGCAGCTGTAAAATAAAAAATAAAAAAAAACTTTCAGCTGCCTTACTAGTCTCTGGTTGAAGATCATGTGTCGGAGCCACTTGAAGTCCAGAGCTTTGAAGGCAGAGAGGACAAACAGGGACTTCGTCTCATAGCGTTCAGTCTTCTGGATGGCCCCTTCTGGATAGGTGATCCTAATGGTGGTCTTGGAACCGACGTCTTTCTCAAAGCCTTTCACTGGGGCCTCGTTTAACCTGCAACACACAGCTGCACAATAAATCACAGAATTCACTGTCCAAAATAATCAAAAGTGGTTAAATTTTGTCTTTTGAATGTGCTGTTGTAGAGCACAGAGGAAACTATTTATAATCAGGTGAGGGAACGTAAATGTGTAAAAGCAGTTCAATGGGCAATGGTGTGGCCTATGGGAGGTAAAGAAAGTGTCATGAAAACATACTGATGTTATAATGATCTAACAATAAAAAGTGTTTTTGTAGGACTTTTTAATAATCATAATCACTGATGACAGAATCTGCAAAACCAAGTTCTTGTTAGTTGGTCATTTGGTTGTGATTAACAACAGAATGAACACCCCCAATATAGAGACAGTAGTCAAGTGATAAAGTCAATTTATATTTAAAGACCTTCATCATTGCTTTAAATTTATCCAAATTATGACAGCTCTGTCCTTGGATATCAAAAACTAAATGAGTCATAATTTAAAGAAAACAAATACAGTACATAAAATCCACCACTTGGAGCTGGGCAAGTTAATACGTTATCGCGTTTACGCATTAATTTATTAATGCAGACAATTATTCTCACATTAACACAGTTATTATTATTATTATTATTATTATTTTGAAAGTCCGTTGCTCACTGGCTCTGAATACACATACAGTCAAACCATGGGTCACAGGAGGGGTGAGATGTTGATCAGTCTGCAAATCACCCACCCAAACAAGCAGCGGAGGGAGGCTTCGGCAGACTACGATGGATGCAGCGTGTGGGAGAAGTAAGACAGCGCTCTGCGAGTAAACAGCAGGCACTATGGATAGTAACCATGGCAACAGCTTCTGTGCACTACACATCTGTAGCCTATTTAACTTAAGTTAAAATTATACATAGGCCTACATCTAGTTTTGCGGGGATGCTCTGCCATGCGAATTCCGTCCTGTTGATGTCATGATAACTATTTCGTAAGCAGTAATAGATTCTGGAAACTCAAAAACCGTGAGGATTGGTCTCTTTTCCAGTTATTTATGCTGTGCGTTGTTGGGGTTTTCAGCATATGGTCAGGTATGGTTATCAGCTGAATATCAAAGATATTCTAGAAATATTAATAAAACTATTAATATTCAAAATTAAATATAGGGCACCAAGCCACAGTAACTCAAACCAAACATGAGCCAAATGGCAAAAAGAGAAGGGTGAGTCCGTACACTGGCCGTGGTAACCAGCTCTTACTACAACATCATACACAAATAATCACAGGCAACGATTTCTTAAAATTATAATAGGATTTCAACTCAAGCAACTTTAGCAAGTAAATCACTATTAACTATTCTAAGTGATGAATGAAATAAAAATGATAATGAAATGATTGAGTGAGACAAAGGAGGGGGAGAGACTAAGAGAGGGGGGTGGATCCGACCACGTGGGTGGTCGCAGATCCGGTTCAGAATTGGGCTACAGGCCAGCTGATTTAGGAATCAAGATGGCAGTTCAGACCATGTGATTTCAGGATTAAAATGGCTAAAATCATTGTCCCCTGAACTAAAACAAATTGGAGACTTCTGATGCTAGCCTGCTGTGGGTCACAGGTGTGGTTAGATGCAAAGGTCACTAGGTGTGTGCGGGTGTGTAAGCAGATGAAGGAGAGAAAGGTACAAAGAAAAGCTAACTAGTGATAGATTTTATCATATATATATATATACATACATACATACATACATACACATATATATATATATATATATATATATACACATACACATATATATATATATATATATATATATATATATATATATATATATACAGGGGTACGGAAAGTATTCAGACCCCTTTAAATTTTTCACTCTTCGTTTCATTGCAGCCATTTTCCAAAAATCAAAAAAGTTCATTTTATTTCTCAGTAATGTACACTCAGCACCCCATCTTGACAGAAAAAAAAACAGAAATGTAGAAATTTTTGCAAATTTATTAAAAAAGAAAAACTGAAATATCACATGGTCATAAGTATTCAGACCCTTTGCCGTGACACTCATATTTAACTCAGGTGCTGTCTATTTCTTCTGATCATCCTTGAGATGGTTCTACCTTCATTTGAGTCCAGCTGTGTTTGATTTACTGATTGGACTTGATTAGGAAAGCCACACATCTGTCTATATAAGACCTTACAGCTCACAGTGCATGTCAGAGCAAATGAGAATCATGAGGTCAAAGGAACTGCCTGAAGAGCTCAGAGACAGAATTGTGGCAAGGCACAGATCTGGCCAAGGTTACAAAAAATTTCTGCTGTACTTAAGGTTCCTAAGAGCACAGTGGCCTCCATAATCCTCAAATGGAAGACGTTTGGGACGACCAGAACCCTTCCTAGAGCTGGCCGTCCGGCCAAACTGAGCTATCGGGGGAGAAGAGCCTTGGTGAGAGAGGTAAAGAAGAACCCAAAGGTCACTGTGGCTGAGCTCCAGAGATGCAGTCGGGAGATGGGAGAAAGTTGTAGTAAGTCAACCATCACTGCAGCAATCCACCAGTCGGGGCTT